TTTAAAAAAAAAAAATTTTACTTATATGGGGCGGCTGGGTGGCTCAGTCGGTAGAGCACGTGACTCTTGATCTCAGGGTTGTGAGTCTGAGCCCCAAGGCCGCGTTGGGTGTCGAGACTATTTACAAATAAAATCTTTAGAGAAAAAAACAATCAAGATGGCACATTTCATGATGTGTATATCTTGCCTCAAAACAAACACAAAACCATCTAATCAAAGTCACCTATCACAAACTTCCTCCCCCAAAAGGGGCTCTTTCTCTGACATGCTGTTCCAGGGGCTGCTCAGCCACCGTGAAGGGACAGCTCACAGAGCGGGCCAATATGTGCTCTGGGTCATTTTCTGTTTCTACACAGACTTAGGCTGAGTGATGGAACCTGATCCTGCTATCCTTTCAACTGCCTCGAAATGTCAGGATGGGGTGGCGGACCTTACCTTCCTCAAAGAAACCAGCCCACAGTTGGCCCGAGCCCCAGAGCCCCACACCGCTCCTCACGCTCTCCCATGAGGCATCAAGGTGCAGGATGCATGTACAGCCACACCCATGACCAAGAATTCTTGTTGCAAAACGCCCTTCCCTGCCTCCTGTAGCAAGAGGCGACATTCACAACCATAATCGGGGCACTTCCCCCTTTGCCTTCTGCTCTAAGCCAACCCTGGTTTTAAAACAACTCAATGAAATGAAACAAAGGGTGACAAATCTGGCGGGAACTTCCGGGGAGAGGAAGGAAAACAGCACCTCACTCTCAGGCTCCGTGCAAACGATCCCTTCCAGCAGGTCCAGGACCTCCTTGGTGTCCTGTGAGCGACTGCGATCCCACTTTAGAATGGTCACTAGCCCTCTCACGGGAAAGTGTCTGCCGAGTGCCTTCGACTAGTTCTTTAATCCTAAACTGGGATCTGCTGGGACTGACTCATCCCTCCCTCGCGGCACCGATACTCAGTATCAGGGCACAGCGGCTGCGGCAAAACCCCCGCCTGGCTTGGAGCTTTCTATCCTCCTCCCTCGAATCTACTGTAGCCCAGTCCTTGCTGCCTACCTCAGGTTTCTCCAGTGCCTGGCCAATTCGGCACCGAGGTTTTATTTTTTTGCTTCCCTGCACAAGCGAGTATTTGTTACTATTTCTCCACTCAGCCTCCTAGGCTTGTCTTTAAGAAGGTACTTTCCCTCTACTGCAGGGTCCTGGTAATTACCCCTTCTAACTCAATTACAGGACCTTATTTTTCCCCCACTTCCTCTTTCCGTCCATTGTTATGCAGAGGGAGGGGAGGCTGCTGAGTGTGCAAGGAGAATTGGATTAGGTAGCTGAGTATCTCAAAAGCTGTCTTCCTGGTTCTGCCTCTGCCCTGGAGGTCTCACTTACAACAGCCCCACACCCGCTCCACGCTGTCTTCCCACCTGCAAAACCCCAAGTGTAAGAGAAACCAATTAAGGGTGCCTAAGCAGAGGTGAGAAAGGGGAGGTTCTGGGAGATTACAAAGGTGATGGTATTGCAGGGGAGGAAAAAGTTTCCCTCGAGGTTCACAGGGTCCCTGGCTTGGTCAGACAATGAAACTGACAAAGACAGATTAACAGGAGGAAAGAACAATGTTTTCAAAAAATTTTACACGTACATGGGAGCCTTCCAAGAGAATGAGGATCTGAAGAAGGGAGCAGAGCAGAAAGGTTTTATACCTTTTAGGGAAATAAAATTTTGTGAAGAATTGACAAGACAAGGGGGTTGGGGCTAGGGGCAGTAAATGGTGAAGACGTAACTAGGAAGGTAAGGGTTAGTTTAACAAGGCTTGTTTACACAGCCTTCCCAGTCCTAAATTCTCTGTCCCTGGTAATAAGAATGTCCTACTTCCTCCTGGTACGGGGAGGGTACCGCTCACAGGGGAGTTTTACGACCTGTTTCAGGGAAGAAGGTGGGGTGGGGGAGGTCAGAGTAACCCAACAGCTTCTGTGGCTTTTAAAAATTCCTTCAGCTAGGGGCACCTGGCTGGCTCAGTCCATAGAGCCTGTGACTCTCGATCTCCAGGTTGTAGGTTTGAGTCCCACGTTGGGTGTAGAGATTACTTAAAAATAAAATCTTAGGGGCACCTGGGTGGCTCAGATGGTTAAGTGTCTGCCTTTGGCTCACGTCATAATCCCAGCGTCCTGGGATGGAGCCCCGCCAAGCAGGGAGCCTGCTTCTCCCTCTCCCTCTGCTGTTCCCCCTGCTTGTGCTCTCTCGCTCTATCAAATAAATAAATAAATAAATCTTTAAAAAAATAAATAAAATCTTTTTAAAAATTCCTGCAGCTTAAGATAAATATTTAATAAGTCAAGGTGTCATATTTTGGGGTAGCATGTCCTCGCCCCCATCAGCGTCTTGTTACATAACTTAGGTGAACGGATGATTCTGACATTACAAAATAAACTCAAGAGATTATAGACAGAAAGAAAACAGCAGTGTTGATAAAAATAATTTTGTTCAGAGAAATCAATGCCGAGAAAACTTACATAAAATTTCCAACCCGGAACCATTTTCTCAATGATTACTCGTTCTTTGCGGGGGACAGATGCCTCTTTGAAAACCTGATAAATCATGTAGAATCTTATCCCCAGGAAAATGCACATAAACAGAAACCAAACCTTAGGGGTTCACCGCCCCCTTGAATCCCGGAGGCACACGAATGGCTGGTTAAGTGATGTAAGGAATCCGGAGCTGCGATCAGCCCTTTCCTTCTTTGTAAATCCCATCTAGAGTTCAGAGTAGTTCGGAGAAAGCATTCATTTGTTCATTCATTCAACAAGTAACTCTTTGAGAAACTTCCAAGTGTCAGGCCCCACGCTGGGCCACATTGTGAGGCAGAAAGAGGTGAATCGGACACAGTGCCTGCTCCCGGGCCGCTCACGTCTGGCGGGGGAGACCCACAGAGAACAGACAAAGAGCGTACAGTGATGGAGGAGGGACGGTGGGAGCCCCGAGGGGAGGGGCAGAACTATTTCCCACAGTCCCGCCTGCCCACAGCAGTCAGTTCCTATACCTCTGACTACAAAGCGAAGTGTTTTTAGAAGCCCCAGTACTCCCTGAGGGGCTCGCGGAGCGGCCCAGGTCAGGGCTCTCACCCCACCCCTACCCCCACCCTGGCCCCATCCAGCTTTCACACCTCCACTGGGACGGGGCTGGCTTCCCTATCTCTTCCCATAGGCTCCCAGGGTGTTGCCATATCCTCCCCTACCCCCATCCCAACACACACATACCTTCCCTACTCCCCAGGCCAGCTTTTAAATAAGTAACTAATCCCCCTTGCAACTCCTCCTTTCTTTGATTAAACCCTTATACATTTTACTAGTTGAGCTGCCTCAACGACTACAAGGAGTAACGAAAATAGCTAACTTTAAGGAAGTTACAGATTTGCAAGAAACCTGGGCCGTCTTGGTATGAGCTGGTATTTATTCACAGGCCCTAAGGCTGGGCTGGACTGGGCTGGGAGGGACCTGGGCCTGGCCATGCTTCCTCTCACCTCTTCTCTGAATTCTCCCTTCCTTGGGGGCCTCAGGGAAAAGTCTCTGGCTCCAAGTCTGGGTGTCAGCAATTCTGTGTGTCTGGGTTGGATGCTAGGCTGCATCTGCTTATCCTAGCTGCTTCCCTATCACACCTCTGGCCACCGGCCCCTGAGCACTCCTTCACAGGCTCTGGCTGGCCCTCTTCCCTTCCTGGGTTCAGCTCCTGACTCCCAAAGGAGAAAGTCCCTCTCCCTATAGGTCTTTGAAGAGTCCTCCCCAGGGCTCTGGGCCCTCTTGTCCTGACTAGCTTTCACCATTCTCTGACTTGGATACATTTTCCTACTGTAATGTGCATTTGCTTTGTAGACCATTCTATTCCAGTTTAGAAAATGAATGAGCTTATTACTTGTCAGATAATGGCAAAACCTTTTATAAATTTATTAAGGAAAGATAATAAATACAAGATGTGTGTGTTTGGGGCACCTGGTGGCTCAGTCGTTAAGCGTCTGCCTTTGGCTGGGGTCATGGTCCCAAGCTCCAGGGATCAAGCCCCACATGGGGCTGGCTGCCTGCTCGGTGGGGAGCCTGCTTCTCCCTCTCCCACTCCCCCTGCTTGTGTTCCCTCTCTCACTGTGTCTCTCTCTGTCAAATAAATGAATAAAATCTTTAAAACAAAACAAAACAAGATGGGTGTGTTAAAATTAGAAAGGATGGAAGGACCAAGTGATACCTAATTATTTTTGAGGTACTAAGAGAATATGAGACACTCTAAGTATTCTAAGTATTCATGATATCCTAAAGATACCCGAGACACTAAATATTCACGAAGGAAATCATTTTTTAAAAGATCTATTTATTTGTTTTAGAGAGGGGTGGGGAGAGGCAGAAGAGAGGGAGGGGAGAAGCAGATTCCCCGCTGAGCAAGGAACCCAGAAGGAAGCAGGGCTCTGTCTCACGATAGTCAGACCCTTAACCTACTGAGCCACCAGGCAGCCTTGATGCATGAAGTCTTAATGCAGAAGATGACAACTAGTCTGGCCCCATCCTCTGACCAAAATATACAAGTAAAACCCATAGTTGCTCAGATGGCTAACTGATGAGCTACATCGGTGGCCAGGTGTACTGGTCTGTGCATTTCTTTGATGTCAGCGTGTGTCACTGATCCAGGGAAACTTCTATCTGTGGGTGGCATGCCTTCGCTCAAACCTCCACTCTGGTGCTTGTAACCGCACCATTAGCAGGGAAGGCTGACATAGCCAAGAGACAGATCATGCAAATATTATGTCCCCCCGGGGGCTTCAGGTACCTTCATGCTTCTACCCCATTGTGTCTTATCCTAGATGTGTCAACCTATCCCACCTTTCCCCTTGCTTCTCCCTCTTTGTGTTTTTTCTTGATTTAATAATGCGTGTGTTTTGAGCATTTAGCCTGGTTGGAGACCCTTTCTGTTCCATGCCCTCTGAGATAGTTGGCCTGATAGTGCACTTGGAAGCTACCATGCCATTACTCTGTAACACCTACTTTCATACTCCTTGTTTCTCCAAATCCTGTTTTGCTGGCTATGACATGGGCTCCCATCTTGCATACATTTGACCCCATCTTTTTTCCTTCCCCTCACCCACTGCCCTCTCAATAGCGGTCCTTCCCCTGATCCCCACAGTGGCCTGGGGGCGGGGTGGGGGCGTCTAGAGTCTAGGTTACCACAGTTAGCACAAGTGCTGTCTTATAAAGGCAAGGCTCAGGCCTCCCATGTCTAGAAGGAATACAAAGCCCATTCTCTCAACTGCAGGTGAGACCTTTGCTATTCCTGTTGTTTTCTTTTCTGAATATTAGATGCTCCCTCTGCTATAAACTCCTTGAAGGCAGAGACTATTCCTCATCTTCATCGTCCCAGCTCTTACCACAGGGTCTAAGACATACCACCTGCTCTGTGATTGTTGAACTCAGTGAATATTAATGTATCCATTTTATTCATTCATTTTGACAATTCAGCCCCTTACATCTATCAAGTCCATAACCCAATCCTAGAAGCTCCACCAAAATTGTTCTTTTTTTTTTTTTAATTTTTTTTTACAGACTCCCCGCCGAGCAGGGAGCCCGATGCGGGACTCGATCCCGGGACTCCAGGATCATGACCTGAGCCGAAGGCAGTCGCTTAACCAACTGAGCCACCCAGGCGCCCCAAAATTGTTCTTAAGTTAGCTTCTCTTCGTCTCTTTTGCCACCATGACACTCGGGTCTAAACTACCTAGGTATTTTTCTAGCTAGGAATGTATCAGAGCTTCCCTGCTTTCTCTACCTTTCTCCACACAGCTGATACGGTGATCTTAGATAGGTGAAAGAAAGGAAGAGGGAAAGAAGGAAGGAAGGAAAGAAAACAGTCAGCTTCATGACTCTGGAACCCTTGAAACCTGGCATATTCTGAGCAAATTTCCCAATCATGGGAAAAGTGTGTCTCTGACCCCACAAATATATTTGTTCTTTTTTTTTTCCCCCTTAAGTAAACTGTATGCCCAATGTGGGGCTTGAACTCAAGTGACCCCTGAGGTCATGAGTTGCATGCTCTACCCACTGAGCCAGCCAGGCACCCCCCCCATTCTTTTTTTAAAAAAGAAATTAGGGGCATTTGGCTAGCTCGTGGATGGAGCATGGGACTCTTGATCTTGGGGTTGTGATTTGAGCCTCACAATGGGTGTAGAGATTACTTAAATAAATAAAACTTAAATAACAAAGTGAAGAGCTTTCAAAAAAAAATAAAAATCTTAAAATAAATAAAAGAAATTAATTGGCTTCCTACCCTTCCTTTCACAGTTATAGTTAGCTGCAAATAAGAGAGATCCAACTAAGGCCAGCACTAGGGAAAAGTGGAGTTATTAGCTCAAACAGTTGTGAAGCGTTGCCGACCTGCTGGCTCTAGCACTCTCTTAGACTGAGAGTTTCAAATGATGATCTTTCTTCTCTTGCTTCTGCCCTTAGCTATCTTTTTCTCTGTATTTCAGTTGTGTTTTCTAATCTGTTCTCTTCATATAATGGAAGAGAGGTCTAGTTTCATTTGCCCTTATATCTATAGACCCAGAGAAAAAGAGCCCCCTTCCCTGCACTGATTATAGCGATGACTTTAGTTGGGTCACTTGAAGTCACCTGTTCCTCCCTGAACCAATCACATTCATCACTCTGGCCAGCCCCCCACTCCCCCCCATGCCAGGGGTAGAGCAGAGCTCTCATATAAGGAGTCTTGCCAGGCCCCTGTGGAATGGGGGGATTGGGGCTTCTAAAGGAAAAATAGGGACAGAAACAACAGAGGTCCAGGCACTTTTTTGTAGAGTAGAGGTGGGAAGAGATTTTTACATGTGCCCAACTCCTTGTCTCTGTTTATTGATGGTGGGTTGGTGGGTGCTTTATCCCTTCCTTGATAGGCTGTAAGCTCCACCAGGGCAAGAATCTCTCCGTTTTAGCTCTCAGTGTTGGTTATCCCTGCACTCCTAGCACATGGTAGGTTTTCACTTCCTCATCTGTTCAGGGGAAAAAAAAAAAAAGGTGATAGGTGCTAAAGAACAGGAAAAAGAAGACATGTGTCCCTGCACTCAAGGAGTAGCAACTTCTGCATGTATATGCATTGAGCCAGTGTTTTTCAAATTGGAAGATTCAAGGGGTGGTGAAATTAACTTGGTGGATTGCAACTACAATTTTTAAAAATGTGAGATAGAATAGAAAATAGAAATGGACTAGCCAACATCAGAGCGCATCACACATAATGGGGGTATTGTTCCATCACATTTTTATTTCAGTATAAATATTATAAATACACACACAGACACACACACAACATACTGGGTTGCAGTGTGAAATGCATTTGTTACTGGGAGTTGGTCAAAAGTTTCAAAAAGCCTGCCTTAGGCTGCCTGGATTGAAGTGTGGTAAGATAGTATCCTTTCAGTTCAGAGCAAACAAAGCTTCAGAGACTGAGTCATGTCATCACTGGGAAATAACACCTGGGAAACTCATTCAAAGACCTAGAGTGGAGACACAATTTCAGGATGCTGTTGCAGGGTGAACTCTGGATTTCTGTGCTTTGGTTGGCTCGTGTCACATCCTCAGGGCCATTTTATCATATGTACATTCAGGTGTGTTTTCTCTCCCCACCCCCCCAATAACAGATGACTTAACAGTTTTCAAAGTCGAATACAAAATTAATTTTTTTCTGTTATGTATGGTTGGATCATAAATTATATATTCCTAGAAAAAGAAATCTGAATTAACTAAATTATTCCTGGAAGAATAGAACTCAGGGAGGCTGGGGGACAGCAGTTAGTATGGTGTGGAAGGACCAGGGGCTATTATTGCCCTGAACAGAATCTCTACTTCAGCATTTCCTTGCTCTGTGGATTCAGAAGAAGGGACCTAGTCTAC